AGAAAGGTTTCTACAGGCACATTAGCAATAAGAGGGTGATCAGAGACGGTGTGGGACCCTTACTGGATGAGAGAGGTAACTTAGGGTATGTCTACACTACCCCGCTAGTTCGAACTAGCGGGGTAATGTAGGCATACCGCACTTGCAAATGAAGCCCGGGATTTGAATTTCCCGGGCTTCATTTGCATAAGTTGGGCGCCGCCATTTTTAAATCCCGGCTAGTTCGAATCCCGTGCCGCGCAGCTTGACGCGGCACGGAGTAGCTAGTTCGGATTAGGCTTCCTAATCCGAACTAGCTGTGCTCCTCATTCCACGAGGACATACGCTCCTCATTCCACGAGGAGTACAGCTAGTTCGGATTAGAAGCCTAATCTGAACTAGCTACTCCGTGCCGCGTGTAGCTGCGCGGCACGGGCTTCGAACTAGCCGGGATTTAAAAATGGCGGCGCCCTGCTTATGCAAATGAAGCCCGGGAAATTCAAATCCCGGGCTTCATTTGCAAGTGCGGTATGCCTACATTACCCTCCTAGTTCGAATTAGGAGGGTAGTGTAGACATACCCAAAGTGACTGATGATGTGGGAAAAGCTGAAGTACTCAATGCTTTCTTTGCCTCTATTTTCACGAACAAGGTCAGCTCCCAGACTAATGCACTAAACAACGAAGTAGGGGAAGGAGGTGGACAGCCCTTGGTGGGGAAAGAACAAGTTAGGAAGTATTTAGAAAAGCTAGACATACGCATATCCATGGGTCTGGATTTAATGCATCCAAGCATACTGAGGGAGTTGGCAAATGTCATTGCGGAGCTTTTGGCCATTACCTTTGAAAACTCGCGGAGATTGGGAGAGATCCCGGATGATTGGAAAAAGGCAAATATGGTGCCCATCTTTAAAAAAGCGAAGAAGGACAATCCAAGGAACTACAGACAGGTCAGCCTTACCTCAGTCCCCAGAAAAATCGTGGAGGGGATCCTCAAGAAATCCATTTTGAGGCACTTGGAAGAGGGGAAAGTGATCAGGAATAGTCAACATGGATTCACGAAGGGCAAGTCATGCCTGACCAATCTGATTAGCTTTTATGTTATGATAAGGTAACTGGCTCTTTTGATATGGGAAAGTCAGTGGATGTGATATACCTTGATTTTAGCAAAGCTTTTGATACGGTCTACCACAATATTCTTGCCAGCAAGTTAAAGGAGTATGGATTGGATAAATGGACTGTAAAAATGTCAGGTTGGAGGTCGGTTTCTGGCAGAGTACCCCAAGGATCAGTTATAAGACTGGATTTGTTCAACATTTTTATTAGTGACCTGGATGAGGGGATGGATTGCACCCTCAGCAAGTTTGTGGATGATACTAAGCTAGGGGGAGAGGTAGATAAGCTGGAAGGCAGAGCTAGGGTCCAGAGTGACCTAGACAGATTAGAGGATTGGGCCACAAGAAATCTGATGAGGTTCAACAAGGACAAGTGTAGAGTCCTGCACTTGGGACAGAAGAATCCCAAGCATTGTTACAGGCTGGTGACCAAATGGCTAAGTAGCAGTTCTGCAGAAAAGGACCTGGGGATTACAGTGGATGAGAAACTGGATATTAGTCAACAGGGTGCCCTTGTAGCCAAGAAGGCTAATGGCATTAGGTTGCATTAGGAGGAGCATTGCCAGCAGATCTAGAGAAGTAATTATTCTGCTTTATTTGGCTCTGGTGTGGCCACATCTGGAGTATTGTGTCCAGTTCTGGGCCCCCCACTATAGGAAGGATGTGGACACATTGGAGAGTGTCCAGCAGAGTGCGACCAAAATGATTAGGGGGCGGGAGTGCATGACCTATAAGGAGAGAATGAGGGATTTGGGTTTGTTTAGTCTGCAGAAGAGAAGAGTGAGGGAGGATTTGATAGCAGCCTTCAACTTCCTGAAGGGAGGTTCCAAAGAGGATGGAGAAAGGCTGTTCTCAGTAGTGACAGATGGCAGAATGAGGAGCAATGGTCTCAAGTTACAGTGGGAGAGGTCTAGGTTGGATATTAGGAAAAACTATTTTACTAGAAGGGTGGTGAAGCACTGGAATGGGTTCCCTAGGGAGGTGGTGGAATCTCCATCCTAGAGGTTTTTAAGTCTCAGCTTGAGAAAGCCCTAGCTGGGTTGATTTAGTTGGGATTGGTCCTGCCTTGGGCAGGGGGCTGGACTTGATGGCCTTCTGGGGTCTCTTCCAGCTCTGATTCTATGATTCTAGGTCAGATGTCTATATGTAGAGAGAAAGACTGATCAGTTAGTGAAAAGCATTCACTTGATAGTGTATTTATCCTTTATCATTTTCCTGTGTGAGTTCATTCGAGAGTATACAGATTGTCTGGTTTCATCCACATAGTTGCTATTGGAGCATTTAGTGCCTTAGATTAATTAGCACCATGTGTTATGATAAGCATGTGTAGGACCAATGGATCTTCAAAGATGTGATGTGGGGAGTGTTGATCATGTAGCAATGGAGATAGAGCTGCAGGTTTTCCATCTGTTGTTCTGTAGTCAGAGTCTGTCAATACTTTAAATTGGTGTGCCCTTGTCTGTGGGGAGCTTGTGTCTGATGATGAGCTCAGAAAGGTTGAGGTGCTAAAGAACTAGTGTCAGTAAGGATCAAACCCTGAAGCCCTTAATCAGTTCTTATTTGGGCTAAACTATCATGGATCACAACGCAAGTTTTACCTGAATAAGTACCAAGTTGGGAATATAGGGGTTAGTTTTAAGGGCTAGATCCTGCAATCTTCACTCTGACAAAAATCCCATTAATTGCAATGTAGTCCAGGATTTGGCCTTCAGCAAATAGCAAGTTCTGGCTTTCTGTTGGGAAGCAAGAACTTGATACATCTGCCTTTTAGAAAGACTTTGCATAGGATTTTGTCCAAAACAAATGCCTAAATCTGGCACTTTGGAAGGAACTCCAGGATAGCAATTTCACCTGCTATTAACGTATACAATTTTTAAAATAAGTTATTTTAAAAGCATCCAGCATCTTCAACCTCGGCTCTTCGCTCAGACAATCATCTTTCCGGTCTTCACTCTGTCTCATATGAAGCAGCAGATATGCCTATTAATCCTCCCACCGTAGAGCTGAGAGAATTTTACACATGCTAATCACACTTCACATACCAACTTGTACTCAACAGTTATTATTTTCCCCTAATTTTCCTATTTAGAGAAATGATAACTTCCTTCCTAAATATGGTCTGTATCTTTTGTCATCCCCCTCCTTTTGTTTTGAATTTGGCTATTTTCAGTTTTCTCCTCTTATTTACTTGCCTAATCACAGAATGTTCAACAGCAAATTATTTTTAACCATAGTAGTGGTCCATGGCTAACTTCAATGCAAGTTCCATCTATGATCTTCATACTGTAGAATTCAGTATGACAGATTCTGTTTTTAAATGGTTGTATCACTTTGCTTAGCAACATAGGAATGTATTTGTTTTGGGGGCTCAGGGATATTGCCCTGACAGT